GCGGGAGTCCCGGGTTCGAGCCTCCAGTCGGGATGGGGCCGACCAGATGCGGCAAGGGCGCCCGCCTGAGCCCCCGTTGCGTTACAATATATACTGTATATTTATTTTAAAGTTAGCTTTGTTGTTGAACTGTTTATTGGTTGCCAGCTGAAGAGTTTTGTTTATCAACATCATTTCTGCCTTTCAAAATGGGTGATTATTTTAACAAATTCTTTTACAGTGAGCACCAACTCTTGGAGTACTTTTTAAATGTTGGAAATAACAGGGTTATATCAAAAGAAAATATATATACTATACTATATATATAAGTATTATCTGCAGACCCAGATTATGATATAGCAAAACATTTTGTTTAAGAGATTATTGTAACCTAAAACATTATCACCAAAGCACCGTTAATGCAATAATGCTTTGGACATCAGAATGCATGTGTGTCTTTTGTAACATCAGCCAGCAATTCCAGTGATGAAAAAAACTGTTTAAAATCTTTCTTTTTTTAATGTGTTTCTAAAGCCAAGGTAAGAAAATGTATTATTATTCTGTGTACAATACAGCACCATAAAAGGAAAGTGGATATGTAAGTCTGTATAATGTAGTTACTGTATATGGTGCCTCTTAAAGTTAAGCCAATCCATAACATCAGTGTGAAGTTTTATTAATCTACATCTGGTATCGATTTAATTCAGTGACTGATACGTTGTCCTGTAAATATCATGAACCCCACTGCAAACCATGTTCATCCTCTGCAAGCAGCAAGGACAGTGGGAATAAAACACTGCTTTTTAAAATATTTTTAGTCCCACCCCAATCATCACACTTCATCTGGGGGTCATTCATCATTGTCATCAATGGTCATTGCTTGCCTGTTCAAGAGAAAGTCCATTTGACATTTGATTTGCCTTCCTGATAATGATCATCAATTAATGCATGAAGACTAAAAGCTTCCTGTTTTTGTGCAAAAACATTAACCATATGCTTTGTCTCTCTGCTTTCTACAGACCACAATGGATACTTTGTATGCAAACACAACCTTCCTGCCCAACTACAATGTACCCAATGCTACTGCAAAGCCTTGGACTCCTTATGATGGCTGTGAAGAAAGAGTTGCTGGTATTTTATTTGATCTAGCTGTACAAATTTTCAATGTGTTTTTGGGTCTACCTGCTAATGTGATGATTCTGTGGTTTATACTGAGAAAAAAAAGTGAATCCTCCACTTCCGATATCTTCATATTTAACCTGGCTGTACTAGATGGCTTCTTTGGCTGTATGGTCCCTATTGATCTGGTTAACATGTTTTTGCTTAATAACAAGGACATCTGGTACATCTTAATGTTCACCTATGGTATAAAAGACATGGGGGGGCCCTTGTTTCTCTCCTGTGTCTGTTTAGACCGGTACGTAGCTGTGCTGCATCCCATCACTTTCACAGGCCTCAAAGATCACAAATACAGAGCAGCCTGCTCAGTGGTGGTGCTGGTCATCACGTTAGCCTATGCCATCGCCAAAGCCATTGGGGGGATTGAGAACTTTGAGAAGGTATTCACTGTCAGTATCCTCACTGCCTTTGCCTTCATGGTCTTCTGTAACATCTCCATCCTGTGGGCTCTGAAGAGATCTGGACCAGGGAAAGACGAGATGCACCCCATGAAGAAGAAGGCCTTCAAGATGGTTCTGTCCATCCTGGCTATTATAGTATTTAATTATCTCCCACCTGTAGCTCTTTTCCCATTCCAGCAATATTATTCTGTCGATGTGTTTAAGTGCTACATCCAGCCCTTTGCCTTCTCCTTCATCAACATCAGCAGCAGCACTCAGCCCTTACTCTACCTGTCCAGAGTGAAGAAGATACATTGTTTTCCAAGCTTAAGCAGTAAGATGTGCAGCTCAGCAAAGAGACCCAGTGCAGAAAGCTAGAGTTTCCTATAAAAGAAACAGTATATTTGGATTTCAGATCAGCAAAGGATTTCCCATCTCAATCCCACCCACCAAACCCTTATACCTGCTGAATTTTGTAGTAACCCTTGCAATTCTGAACAACAGTAAAAAAAGCAATATCCTAGGGCAGTGCCTTGCTGCTGTTTTGTTTTCTGGTTTTTACTCCAGCTAGGTTTTTAATTGCAAGCAGATCGATTTCCAAATTCTATTTTAGTTTATTTTTTTAATGATGCTAATTTAAAACACTGTCAGAGTGCTTGATACATTATCATTCCATTCTATATTATGCCTGTGCATTGGAAATTGATAACCAATTAAGAGATGTTTAATCAGAAATAAGAGTTTAAATTATTAATTAGGAAGCTGAGCAGAGACTATGTTAAGTTCCGTATGCTGACATTGTTGTAAGTAATGTTTTTTAGCTAGGGTATTTCTGAAATACCCTATAAAGCCTCTATACAGAATACACAAAGATATAACAATCAGTAATTGGAACAGTTGCAAATATAATTCATAGAAACTGCAAACTATGTGGAGGAGCAACAATTACAAAATTATTTTGTACTGATTGAAAAATAATCTGTTACACTTCCAAAATAAATTAGTTGCACATTCATGTTACAACAGACCTCAATGAAATGGAATGAAGATATATTTTTGTCTTCAGGCTACAAAATATACCATTGAAAAAGAAAAGGGAGCTGCTTTTTATTTTAGGACGTGTCACACAAAAAAAAAAAAACGAATAAAAAAAGAAATGTTACCAGTGGAAGGAAAATATGATATTGTGTCAAATTGTACCTTAATACTTAATAAAATGTATTTTATGATACAGTAACTCCAGACAGCCTACCCTGCTTTAATTTATAATGTTACACATGCCTGCTGTACATTTTCTGTACCTGCAGTATAACAACAAATAAAGTATATTAAAGGTTTAGATTCAGAGAATAGTTATATCTGCAACCACAAAATAATTACTAACATCTGTGTTTGTCTATTTTATATTTGTGACTTTAGAACCACATTCTTCAGTGAATTGCAGGATTAATTTACAGATGAAGGACTTAGTGTAACTGAAACACTCCTTTGAGTCAACAATTAATCTAGGAACTCAACATGATGGGCAGGAACAGTGAAACTTTTATCAAACTTTCAGTTAGTACCTCTGAGCCAGAATTAATATCTAAACAAATACAGTGGTGTGAAAAAGTGTTTGCCCCCTTCCTGATTTCTTATTTTTTTGCATGTTTGTCACACTGAAATGTTTCAGATCATCAAACAAATTGAAATATTAGACAAAGATAACACAAGTAAACACAAAATGCAGTTTTTAAATGAAGGTTTTTATTATTAAGCGGAAAAAAATCCAAACCTACATGGCCCTG